AATTTTTACTTGTGTTCATTGTGCATGCATGTCTTTGATTTCGTCCATTTTGGTCCAAAATGTTAAAAATGTTGCAATTTGGTTTATCTCTTTTTTCAAGTTTGCTTATTAAGACTCAAACATAAATGTAATAAATAAGTTGAATCAAAACCCCTAATGTTAAAGTATGCAACCGTGTTTAAATGGAGGATTGTGAGGTGCGCGTATGCTCTTCCTCACTTCTAATCGAACCCCCGAACCTCGATCTCTATGCAGACCCATTTTAGGTGACTTGTCCCACCTTATAATTTGGACGAGTGACGACTCCCCTTTTTTTTTTATATATTTCACACTTGATTTTTCAATTTATTTTGAAAAAAAATCTCAAGTGGTCGTCAACAGTTACAAATATGGGGGTAGGGGGATTCAAACGCTAGTCCTTAGGTTGGAGGATGCACCTTACAAGCCGGCCTATGGTCGTTGGGTCGTGAGGTCTAGGTGCCACTTATATTTGTATCTTAGGAATCAACTTATCCCATGTACTCCTTCAAACATTGTGTTTAACCGTCACTATCATAATCCTACTTTTGGTTCTATATTTTTGGTTTTTTTCCTTTTTCGATAAGAGAAATTTAGTATTAACAGCTAAACAAAAGTCTAATAAAGTTTTAATACAAAATTTACTAAATTTTTTGTAGTACTTGATAGGTGCAAAATTACCCTTGATTTTATTAATACTTTGAATGGAGTTAATATGATTTTTTTACTTGATTTTATATTTTTTCCATTATTTGTGCAGAATAATACTTAACTTCTTAAAAATCACAAATTTAGCACTAAATCACAATGTTTCATGAATTAAAATGTGGTGAGATTGAGGATCAAATTGTAAAATTCTAAACCCTAGGAACTAAAATGCAAAAATCTTGAATATTGAGGACCAACTTTGTAATTTTTTATCAATAAGAAAAGAGAGATGAAAATGAGTGGTGCTTGGCCCCCTTCTTCTCTCTTTATTTAATTTTCTTTTGTTTAAGTTATATAATTGGAAATAGATTGTAAATTTAATACTATATAATTAAAAAATATATTAAAGAACCTTCAAGTTGCATTCAATAATAAGAAAAGCATGAATAAATTAATATGACAATAAATTTTATTAAGAATGAAATATAGTATCTAACATTTATTAGATTTAAACTATTATTTATTAGTAATTTTTTAAAAAAATAAAAATTTATTGGGAAATTTTTAAAAACCCATTAGTTATTTATTGAGAATTTTTCAAATTTTAATAGATATTTATTATTATTTTTAAATCCTAATGTATATTTATTTATGAATAGAATAATTTTATTCTTACAATAATTTTATATATAATTAAGATATATAAATATAAATTTATTTATACATAAATTTTATACATTATATTTATATAGAATATTAAAAATTAATAATTTAAATTCTAAATCAAAATCGACTAACTGGCAAGTAACATGAGCTCAAACTCCATTCATTTACATTTTTTTCTTTTTTTTTTGAAATTAAACTCCATCTATTTACTTGATTAGTGAAGTTCGAGCCCACCTTCACCGGAAGGTACTCAAAAACTACCCCGACTTAGGAACCCTACGCATCCCAGAAACGAAATACACTAACCGAAATATTAGAAAATTTCAAAATTAAGAACCCCGCAAACCCCTTCTCTTATCCACTCCCGTTAAGGATGTCCCTCTGCTACACTCACACTCCCCTACCTTACGCTCGACCTCTCTCCCGCCCCCCGAAAGCCGTCGTACGTGCCGCCATCTCTTCCCCAAGGAGGAAACAGTCACCGAGGAGAAAAAAACGACAGCCGCAAACGAACGACGATGGCGCTCTTTCATCCAACGGTGCCGTTTCAGCGCTTGAGAAATCCCTTCGGTTCACTTTCATGGAAGAGCTCATGGAGAAGGCCAGGAGCCGCGACGCTGTCGGCGTTTCCTACGTTATATATGACATGGTCGCCGCCGGGCTGACGCCAGGCCCTAGGTCGTTCCACGGGCTGGTGGTGGCCCACGCGTTAAATGGCGACGTTGAAGGCGCGATGCAGGGGTTGAGGAGGGAGCTGAGTGCTGGCCTTCGTCCTCTCCACGAAACGCTTGTCACGTTAATTCGTTTGTTTGGGTCTAAAGGCCATGCCAGTAGAGGCTTGGAGATACTTGCGGCGATGGAGAATCTAAACTATGACATTCGTCAAGCCTGGTTAATTCTTGTACAGGAGCTTGTTAGGAGCAGCAATTTGGGGGATGCCAACACAGTGTTTTTGAAGGGTGCCAAAGGTGGGTTGAGAGCTACAGATGAACTGTATGATTTGATGATTCAGGAGGATTGCAAAGCTGGGGATCATCCTAATGCCTTGGAAATTGCCTATGAAATGGAGGCTGCCGGGCGTATGGCAACGACCTTTCATTTCAATTGCCTTCTTAGTGTCCAGGTAATTTATTGTGGCAATAGAAGGAACCTCCATATGATTACCCATTTACCTTTCCAAAAAAAGCTAAAAAATTTTCAACTCAATTTTCTTCTAGATTCTGTTAAATAAACTTGGTAAGCAATACAGCTATATGAGAAGGGGCCATTAGCAAATTTTCTTTTGGCTTCTGTTGCTTTCATCATTTGAACTACTGGAAATGCATGTGGCTTGGTTGATTCTTGTTTTAATGTCAGAAGATGGTACACTGGTAGCTCATTAAGAAAAGCAGGGAGATTAGTATGGGATTTTGTTTAGTTTCTTAATTTATAATCAAAATTTTAAGTTTGATGGTTCTATCAATCACTGTTTGCAAGTGCCTTTTTCTCCACTCAGTTTTTGAGATAATTCTCCACTTTTTCTACTGAGTATTAGACTGATTTTATCTGTTTCCTTTATCTAGGCAACTTGTGGGATACCTGAAATAGCTTTTGCAACATTTGAGAACATGGAATATGGAGAAGGTTTGCATACTTTATGCTTGCAGCAGTTTAGTTTTTGTTCAATGTTACAAGATTAGAGAGTGGATCAGTTTAGAGTTTAATTTAGTTAGTGCCACACAATTGAAAGACATACAAATTTTCTTCAGTGGTAGGATGAGCTGCCTTTATTTCAACTTTATGGCCATCTGCTTTGGTGCATTTGGAAGCCTGAAAGGAATGGGGATGCTGACTTTGCAGGGGAGTTTGAAGAAAATGCAGATGCTTCATTTTGGATTTTGAGTGGTGGATGCTTATGTTATTAGATTGGAGAGTGGTTCTTGTGATTTTTCAGATAGTGAGTTGAGAGATATGGTTATAGGTTTTTGGCCATTGGCTGTTTAAAATGTCTAAGGTTCACCATTATTCTCTTATGTTTTCAGTTTGTGGAAAAATTCAAAGATTATTAGTTTCTATTGCTTTTATACGGGTTTTTCCTCCTTTTTTGACTTTCTCATGCACAGAAAATGGACTTCTTAGCCGGGGCAGATAAGAGATATTTATCTGTTTGTGATATCATTTTCTTTTGGGGTGGGAACTGTTAGAGGGATTCACCAGGAATTTCCTGTGTCAAGTTAAGTGGAAGAACAACTTAAATTAGTATTTAAAAAAGAGAGGTTTTACTATTCTGATTTTGATATTCACAGGAGAGTTACTAGAAATATTTCGATCCATGATTTTAGTTATAATTTCAGTTCTTCTATTTATACTGAGATCATATGATGTGGTATATCCTTGAGTTTCTGGAATTTAGCTCAACTTAATGCTCTCCTTTATTGAACCTAGAAAGAGTTAATGGAACTACTTAATTTACATTTAAGAAAGTGAAAGTTTGTAACTTTTCCAGTTCTGCTTATTATTAAAATTCTCATGGTTACAAATTCGTAAATAAATTCCATCTGTTGCCTTGTATTTTGTTTTATGTATATTAACTTCGTGACTTTCAGATTCAATCATTTCTCTATTGTTTATAAATTCTCCTTGTGTAACAGAATATATGAAACCTGACACTGACACATATAATTGGGTTATCCAAGCATACACAAGAGCTGAGTCTTATGACAGGTAAATACAGTGTTGACAAAGCCATATTGTTCTCATGCATTGTACCTTTCTAAGTGGTGTTCCATTCAGAATGTTATAGATTAAAATAAGTAAAATAATATTTCAGCAAATGTGTTAGATATCAAAATAGGTATATGGTTTTTTAGCATTAATTGCTTGCCTTGAGACTCAAGTTGTTCTAAATTTTGAGCAGTTCTTTGGTTGTATATAATTTTTGTTATCTTCTATAGCATGCTGACGATTACCATAGGTCTTGACATGAACTACAGAGTGCAAGATGTTGCTGAGTTACTTGGAATGATGGTTGAAAACCACAAATGTTTGCAACCTAATGTAAAAACCTATGCGTAAGTGAACATTTGTTCTTGTCAGTTTTAGTGAAGCATTTGTCTTAACAAATAAGATTTATTATCATACTGTTTTGTGTAAAAACTTATAAATGCATATACTGCTGCTTTCCTGCTAGCTTCTTTGATCTTTATCTTTATTTCGTCACTCCCTTATTTTTAAAAATAGACTTGGTGGGCACCATGTTATGGTTTTTTCACCAAGAACTTTATGAAAAGAAGCATGTTCAACCATTCTATCTCTATATTTATTTTTTCGATACTGGCTTCCAATTGTCAGCCCTTCACAACATTGTACCTGCACTTCTTTTGTCCCATGATAGATAATATGATGCTTCTATGTTCAGGCTGTTAGTGGAGTGCTTTACCAAGTACCGTGTCATAAATGAAGCTATTCGACATTTTCGTGCACTAAAAGAACATGAAGGGGGGACAAAAGTTCTACATAATGAAGGCAACTTTGGTGATCCACTTTCTTTGTATCTTCGAGCTTTATGTCGAGAAGGTAAGGTAACTTCTTTTAGTGAAAATTTTATTTTCTTTTTGGTGGAGTGTCAGTTTAAATTATGAAAACAAAAATTCTGGTGGATGGAAATATAGCTAGAAGTTCTGCAACTGTTGGAAGTAGAAAGCCTTATCTATCAGGTATATATGGAGTTTATTTCCTACAAAACGCATGCCTTTGCTGTAAGGGTGAGACCAGTGTCCCTGTTTTATTCCTTAATACATATTGATTATGGATTTAAAATTGTCCTATCCTCATAAAGGGTGCTTCCCATTTTTGTTTTTGTTTTTGAAATAAGTTTCTTACTTGATGGGCAGGCAATGCTTATATGAGGAACAAACTTGACATGACCATTTGTCTCCTTTTCCTTTGTGCTTTGAGCCTTTTTGTGGGAGCTGTCTTTTGAAGTTGCTTAGGGTTCAGAAAGTATTTTCCATGGATTTATATTGCCAAAGATTAATGGTGTAGCCAACTTGGGAATTTGAACCTGCCTTAGTTACTTAGTAATTGGGGCCCTAAAGGCTGGCTTAGCAGACTTGGGCCATCTGCTTCAGTAGATTGCTGCATCCAAACTGGTTGTTTCTTCATTTTTTTAGCCTTTCCATACTTTTCTGGGATGCTTCCTCTCTAACTGAACCAGTTTTACACAACCATAGGTGGTGCTTTTTTGCCTTTTGTATAATTTTTCATAAAAGCAGTGTCAATCTTGTTGAAATTGTTTCCACATTTTTTGAAGTGCTTTCACCCATGGTTCCTTACTGTGCTTGTTGGTTAGCATCTAGCTAGTTAGCTCATGGATGGTATATGGCAGAAATTAGTGCATGTCCTCATGTTATATTTTGTTGAGCTATGCTCTATATTTCACATCCTTGGAAGATAACAATATGTTATAAATGTCTCCTGAACCAGGAAGAATTGTTGAATTGCTAGAAGCTTTAGATGCCATGGCTAAAGATAATCAACCCATTCCAGCAAGAGCTATGATTCTGAGCAGAAGGTATCGAACACTAGTTAGCTCCTGGATTGAACCTCTACAAGAAGAAGCTGAACTTGGTTATGAGATTGATTACATTGCCAGGTGTGCCTGTTAATCAACACAAAGGTTATCCTGCATGCACACAGCACACTCACAAAACATGCCTTCTGTGTTTCTTTTTGTCTTGCATGGCTTTTGTTTTTCAATGGAAGCTTTCCCTTACTATTTTAATTTCAAGTGTTTCTAATGTCTAACTCAGCTCTAAGCAATTTAAGATTTTTTATTTGATTTGTAGAGATAGCTTAACTAGAAGATAACTAATAATAGGTACTTGTGGAAACCTTAGTCTCATTCCTAGGATGATATTCAATGGAAAGATATCTTTGTTTTACAAAGTCATCTTAAATTTGGGAGCAGAATTTTGTATGAAATATTATGTAGGTTCTAAAAACAGATTGTGGTTGTTTCCTAAAATAACTTTTAACTCTCTCCATCCCTTGAATGAAATATTCTCCCCATTGTTACCCTTATCAATTACCAATTCTAATAATTAATTCAAAGCAAAAGAACTATCTGGTTCCTAGAAGTGTCAAGTTGGCTGTAAGGGTAATTATGAAAGTTGTTCATATTTTACTGATGTTCTAGGGAAAACAACTCTTATAGTAAGATCAGATAGATACGGGTCAGTGGAAGTATTTTGTTCGACATGTTCATGTCAAAAGGGAAATCAAGCTAACTTGAACTTTGCATTGAATTTGGATTTATTAAATTGCTAATTCATAATTCTACTGCGACATGAGTTTTGGTATACCTGATGCATGTAATTGTTTTAATATCCAATTTTAAAGTTTTCATTGTTTCTAAAGAACAGGTATATAGCAGAAGGTGGGCTCACTGGTGAACGCAAGCATTGGGTCCCTCGAAGTGGTAAAACTCCTCTGGATCCTGATGTTGCTGGATTTATATACTCAAACCCAATTGAAACATCCTTCAAACAAAGATGTCTTGAGGACTTGAAGATGCACCATCGGAAACTATTGACAATCTTGCAAACTGAGGGGCTTTCAGCTTTGGGTGATGCATCTGAATCTGATTATGTGAGAGTGGTGGAGAGGCTAAAGAAAATAATTAAAGGTCCCAATCAGAATGTTTTGAAACCCAAAGCTGCAAGTAAGATGATAGTGTCTGAGTTAAAGGAAGAGCTAGAAGCACAAGGTCTGCCAACTGATGGAACAAGAAATGTTCTTTATCAGCGTGTGCAAAAGGCAAGGAGAATAAACCGTTCACGTGGCCGGCCCCTTTGGGTTCCTCCTGTAGAGGAGGAAGAAGAAGAGGTTAGTCATCATTTGTCATTTTTCTTTAAACTTGGGTATCTTCAATGTGTTTTCCCGAATTTCTCTTCAATATCTAACAAACATTTTTTTTTTTTTTTAATTTGATTACATGTATCTGGCAGGTAGATGAGGAGTTGGATGAACTAATTTCACGGATCAAGTTGGAAGAAGGAAATACAGAGTTTTGGAAACGCCGCTTCCTTGGAGAAGGCTTGAGTGCTGATCATGTCAAACCTGTTGATATGGATGAATCAGAACCTGTGGATGAGCTGGATGATGGTGATGGCGACAGTGATATTGTGGAATACATTGCAAAGGATGTTCAAGATGAAGAAGCTGATGAAGAGGAGGAAGTGGAACAAAATGAGAGCCAAGATGAAGAGACAATCAAGGGTAAGGAAGTTGAAGCTAAGAAACCTCTTCAGATGGTTGGGGTCCAATTGTTCAAAGATGCTGACCAAACAACCAGCAATTCAAAAAAATCTAGGCGAAAAGTGTCTCGAGTATCATTAGAGGTAAAAAAACTCATTTGCATTAGATCTTTTGGATGAATCATTGTTGCTATGCGTTGCATGACTTGACTTCCCTCACTGTAACAGTGCAGTACAAATGGTTTTCTTGTCATTGTTTATAAGACTGATATCAAGGATGTCATTTAAGGTCAACAATGTCTTAGCATACTGCATGTGAATGATGCTTTTTATATCTTGATAATTTGATATGTTCCCAAAAGATGATGGCTGTCGGGGTTGTGATTTCAAATAATAGAAAGATGCATAAAGCAATACATGACCAAAACAATTAAACAAACAATGGTTCATACCAAGGTTTTCTGGAAACAGACAATAGTTCATATAAAGGTTTTCTGGAAATCGTGATATTGATTCTGAATTCTGATGTACATTACCTTTAGTTTCCAAAATGGGGAAATTGCACTTGCTCTATGTTGATACATCTTAAATATATTATTTATATTTTTTTTACTAAATAACGCATCAAGTTTGTTAATTTCAGTTGTAATAAACATAAGTGTAATAAAATGTTCTATTTTAATAGGTGTGGTCAATAAATAGAATAAAATTTGTTTATGCTATTAAAATTGACCAATTTGAACTGAACCAATCCGATCCAAACTAGTTTGGATTAGTTCAAATATGATTCATGTATTGAAGTGGATCATATTGAAAATTTTTCCCTATCCAATTAAATTGGATTGGATGGAAAAATATCCAAAACCAAACCAAAGCGATCTGAGCATCCCTAGTTTCAAGTCAGACAAGTAATACATTATCCTGACACTTTCACTCATAAACAGATGAGTGTATGAATACTGATACTGTTGTTGTATATAAACATACTGATCTGCAAAAAGCTGTAATTCCCCAAAATTGAAGGTGAGTCAGCTTTGCTCTTCCAAAATGATATTTGCTGCATTTATATCCCAAAGGCTTGAATAGATGCAGGTAGAAAATAAGTAACTCCTTTTTGTTGCATGTGGATGCAGGATGATGAAGATGATGATTGGTTTCCTGAGGATATTTTTGAAGCATTTAAAGAGATGAGAGATAGGAAAGTATTTGATGTAGAAGACATGTACACTATAGCTGATGCTTGGGGTTGGACATGGGAAAAAGAACTGAAGAATAGACCTCCTAGAAGGTGGTCACAAGAATGGGAAGTTGAGTTGGCAATTCAAGTGATGCAGAAGGCATGTTCCAACTTTGTTCTTCTGTCTTTACTAGCAATTTTCTTACTCTCCATGAATGCTTTTCTGTCATCAAAATCTATTTGTTTTTAATTCTGAATAAGCACTTTTTAATCCTTACCTTGATGATGCATGTGCTCCACTCATAAATTCCTTTTTGTCATATCATGGCAAATGCATGATGCAATCTATCAAGGATGCATCTTTTTATTTTTCCTTTTTCTGTTTTTTCTTTCTTGATATTGGAAAATTGCCAATAGGTTTCCATGAACTAAATGTTGACATCATATTTGCTTTTAGGTAATTGAATTGGGTGGAACACCTACTATTGGAGATTGTGCTATGATATTGCGTGCAGCTGTAAGGGCTCCTATGCCTTCAGTCTTCTTGAAGATCCTGCAGACAACACACAGTCTTGGTTATGTCTTTGGGAGGTAATGTCCTTATTTCTTGACTTGATAAAATAAGGTGATGGTCTGCGTATTGTAATCCTCTTTTTCAAAGTTCCCCCTCTAGCTGGTTTTAGAATCAACTTCAACTTTTGGAGACTCTCTTTACTCTTAATGAATAGTTGACTATAGTTTTCTTCTGGTAAGATCAATGCATGCTTGCATAAATAGTATATTAAGAGTAAGCTACTTGGAACAGTGAATTTAACTGTTCCTTGTTGAAAATTTCACTGCTTCAGAATCATTTAAGCAAGCAGTATTGTACAGTTCTTGATAACCAAAGCTTCAGATTGCACCATGTATCGGATGGCTAACTTCATTTGGTTCCACTTCCATCTAATTATGTTTCTCCAATTGCAGCCCTCTTTATGATGAAATAATCTCTTTATGTCTCGACCTTGGAGAACTAGATGCAGCCATTGCAATTGTAGCAGACATGGAGACTACAAGAATCACAGTTTTAGACCAAACCATAGACAAGGTTATTTCTGCTAGACAGACTGTTGACAATGCTGTGGACAATGCTTCATCATAGCTGCAGATTCATGTAACCTATCTCCCACATTATAGAGTTCCCGGTAAATTTGTAGGGTGTCGTTGCTATTCTTCTGCAAATCCGCTTTCTGCCGCCAGTTTGTAAATTTTGAATGCTTCAAAATGAACAATAAGTGTTAAATTGTCTCATGGCAGCATTGTAAATATTCATCTCCATTTTCAATCATAATTTATGAAACTCAAAAAAATTATAATTTGTAAAGTTCACATATTGTATGATAATAAGCAATACAAACAGGGCAGCCCGATTTTCGGTTCCGAACTGAAATAACCGAATTTTTGAGCTGAACTGAAAAAATCTGGTTTGTTGGATTGGTTGAATGGTTAACTTGGTTTTTAATTGAATTTAACCAAATCAAAATTTTGGTTGGTTATAAATTTGTAACCAAATTAATTAAAAAAATTGGTTTAACCAGAAAAACTAAACCAAACCAAATATTTTTATAACAAAAATTGAATTTAATATGTAGTTTTTATAATTTGGACATTTCAATTAAACTTGAACCATACTAGAAAATTCAGTTAACTGAAACAAATGTTTGAATTCATAATTTGGTTTGAATTTGGTTTCGTAGATTGTTTACTCCATAAATTGTAAAAATTTAAGATAATGCCACGCGTAAAAATTTTTTAAATGGATGGAGGAGATTAAGCCATATTAGATTTGTTATTCTAGGCTCCATAACAGATCAGCCGCCATATTGGTAAAAAAGGAGATAAAGATAAGATTTTACTGTGCAATTATCTTTGAGTCAAAAAGGGACTATTTTAGTTGAAATTTAGGACGAGATTGCAATTATAGAAGGGAGTTATCAGATAAGGGCACAGGTAGCAAAAATCTAGAAGGAGATTTGATCAGGTTAACTGTAAAGCTATCCCACTTCCTCAAGAAACCACTCATAATTTTGTAATTGTAGAAAGTAGGAAGTTATAGCTAGCAAAAGAAGAACAAAAAGGAAATTTTGGAAGGGAGAACGGATGGCCAGCCCTACTTAATTAAACACCTGCAATTTTCAGACTTTCATTTTCTCTGCAATTGCTTTCAGATTTCAGATTTCAACACAATTTCCAATATATTTAGGTTGTTTTTCATCATTCCAGTAGACAAATTAATTCATGCATTCGCTTCAACAATTTCGTTTCATGCAATGAATTTCAATCTTTTGAATTTCTTTAAGGTACTATTCATTTTCTATCTGCAACTAATTTATGTTTATGATAAGTAGCATTTCTTTAATGATTACCTATATGACGTTCACGCTTCTTTTCAACTTCAAGCATGTTAGTTTAATTCTTGTTCATGTTTGTTTTAATTTTAATTAGGTTAAAATCTCCAATTCTGCAACAGTTTAATTTTTAGATCTGTCAGTAGATAATATTTTAATTTAACAATGAACTTGTTTAATTTAATTTGGGTACATCTTGTTCTCGTAAATTTATTTTAAATTGCATGCTATTTAGTTTAATTAGGATTTGTTAACTTTAATTCACAATAGTGTTTAAGTCCCTTGGAATTGTCCAAGGTAGATTTGTAACACATTCTATAGTAATGTATCCCTCCCTCTTGCAAATTGTATGTAGGCGTAGATTTCAATTTTAATCCAACGTTCTTCTTGCCATCCGCAAGGAGGTCTACTGTGAGGAAAGAGAAGGTCGTTGAGAAAATCCTTCTTTCTTACTTTCAGCAAAGTAAATGGCACACCTGCATTCAGATTTCACACGTGCAAGGCCACTAGAGAATTTTTGGGGAAACAATCCTTTTTGGCACGCCCAATGGGAGCTCACTGTGTCTTACTTATAGTTTTCAGATCTGTTGTTCCTTTTTCCAAGAAAATGCGTAATTATGCCACCAAAAAGAAACATTAGGAAGGCTGCCCAAACTTTATAGATTGGGCGTGGTGAAGGTAGTCTAGCACACTCAGAAGGAGAGAATGAGCCAATCATTCCACCACTGGTGTCACCAATACTTTGGGAGCACTCTTTTGTCAATCCAACCTTCAATAAGGATAGTGAATCTAGAGATGATGTTGCTCAATCTGGTCACTCCTTTATGAAAGCTGTGTCAAAACAGATTAGCATAATGAGGCAAACACAGTTGGAATCTGAGGAAAGAGCTCAACAAAGAATCCAAGAGATTGCTAGATGGTTGGATGAGTCTTTTTAGAATTTGGCTTAGAATTTGGCCCAAAGAGTAGCTCAAAGTGTAGCTGACATGCGGCGCTCTAATGAAAAAAGTGCAAGAATTTGGCATGAGCAAAATGTAGAAAATTGGAGAGCTTTTCAAGTTGAAACAGAATGAATGTAGGAGGCATTTTGACGTGCCAAAATTGAACCTCAACCACAAGCAACGGATCTTCAAAGGCAAAACCAAAATATTCCAGCTCCAACACTTAGGGGGCAAGTTAATCTACCACAACCACCTCCCCAAAATCAGCAAGTAGCATGCGGACCAGTGCAACCAGAACTTGTTGAGGCTACACCACATGCAGCAAAACTGGGCAATCCCCAACATCCCAGATATCTGCCACCTTAACGCCGACCAAATGGAAGAGACCCATAGCATAATGCACCTCCATTAAGGGAGCATTTCCAGCTTTATGTGCCACCCATGCAACAAAATCTCCAAGGTCTACAAGGGTAGTACATCAATCGTGATTAGATCATTGATCTGGTGCAGGAGGCTTATGGTTCAGTTTTAAGGCCTTTAGTCAAACCAGCGTATAGAAAACCATATCCAAATTTTATAAACCAAAAAAATCCTTTTCCAAGAGGATTCAAGGTTCCAGAATTCACTTTATATTCTAGAGATGGTGGATAGTCTACAATTGAACACATAAGCTGCTTCATGATTCAATGTGGCGAAGCCTCCGATGATGATAATCTAAAGCTCAGACTTTTTCCCAGCTCTTTAACTGGTACACCTTTCACTTGGTACCTGAGTCTGCCACAAAATTCAGTTTATACTTGGAGGTAGATGGCAGATCTTTTCCATATCCAGTTTTACCGTAGGGAACCAGAAGTGACCATGGCAGACTTATCCCGTTTGGTGCAGCAACCTGGAGAAACATTTGAGGCCTTCCTTGCCAATTTTGGAAGGGCAAACTTAAGTGCAAAGTTGTCTTGCCAGAATAGGAGTTTGTCAAGTTAGAGCAAAATGGTCTGGACATCGAGTTAAGGAAAAAGTTTGAGGGAATGGAGTTTCGTGATTTCTTTGAGTTGTCGTACAAGGCGGCTCGTTATAAAAATTTATTGTGAGAGCACACACAAAGGAAATCTACATCTCATGGGACTTACTATGGTGACGCTAACTTTGATAAGAACGTGGTAGAAGTGGTAGCAGACAAGCTAGTTGTTTGCCTAGATTTGGTTAAAATGGCCCAACAGATTGACAAAACAGTAAAGCGTTATGTCGGCAATGTTGGAAAACAAACACCTTTGATATTTCAAATACTAATGAAATTTTTGGCCACCTTAAAAAGAATGGTCTAATTAAGTTGTTGTCGAGGCATAAAATCCCAACGGCCGGTGAAATTGGAAGTAGAGAATATTGCAAATATCATAATTCTTGGAAACATTCTACTAATGATTGTGTGATTTTTCGAAATGTTTTATAGGATAAAATCGATAAGGAAATTCTGCGTTTTCCAGATAAGGCCAAAGAAACTATGGGAGTTGATGCCGATCCATTCCCTAGCATATCTGTTGGGGTGAATGCAACAGATCTCAAGAGTATTGCTAGAGACAAAACTCCGCTATACTCTAGGCGCAGACTTGCAGTTAATGATTTAAGGTGGGTCATTGAGGAGGCAAGGGGTTGTAGCAATTAGATTAGATTAGGCTCATCCCAAAGGAAAAAGCACGGGGATCACAACCCAACTCAATAGAAAAATAATACAGATCATGGAACTATGATATCTGGACACATAGAAAAGCCCAGAATGGTAAAATCACCACCCAGATCTCCAAGTAAACGGTGGGAACGTGGTTCATCCAAAATTTCCTAAAGTTCAAAATCTAAGAACCTTAAGGAGTCGTTTACAATGTAAAAGGGTAGCAGAGAGACGTTGACAACAGATTGTAGACTCTAGGAGCATGGCATATCAGACTTAGTTGATCCCAGCAAGAAGGAAATCAATGTGGGTTCGAAAAGAACAAGGAAGCACATCTGGTCAGACTTCTCTAGAAAAGAATGAACCACCTAGAAGTCTAACATTGCCTCGAGTTCTAACTGTGGAATCAAATGAAGAAATTGGTTTGAAGGCGAAGTTTGACGTGTTAGATAAAGCAAAAAATTTCTCAGATGTAATTCATTTTGGTGAGTTTTCTGTGAATCTATCTTTGTTTGGTGATCACTCTTCCTTTGGTCTTTCAAGCTAGAGAACAGTCACAATTTGTACTGAGGAAGGAGGAATCATTGAGATCCCAGCTAAGGGTGTGGATTTAGCAAATAAAATCATTTTTGAAAAACCAAAGGAGAGGATGGCTAGACATATTAGGCTATTATACATTCATGCACATCTGGATGGTATATCGATAAATCGAGTTGTGGTTGATAATGGAGCAGCTGTCAATGTTTTGCCAACCTGTTTGTTGCACAAATTTGGCAAATCTTTGGGTGATTTAATGGAGACAGAAGTGACAATCAACGACCTTACTGGTGGGGTAAATCGTTCAAGGGGAATTCTGTTGGTAGAACTCACTATTGGAAATAGAACTCTCATGTGTGCATTCTTTGTGGTTGACACCATTGCCACTTATAATGCATTATTTGGGAGAGATTGGATACATTCTAGCTGGTGTGTTCCTTCAACTCTGCATCAGAAATTGATATTCTGGAACGATGGTAGAATTGAGTTTGTGATAGTAGATGACAAGCCGTTTGTGGCAAACACCAATGTAGTGGAAGCTCGTTATTTTGGTGAAGATATTGGGACTATTCATTTCTTTGGGATGGATCATTATGGCAGACCTTCTAGAATTACTGCCTGCACCAAATCTACATTGGACAAATAGACTGTGAAGGAGGTCTGTGACAAACTTTTTCAGCCTACAGCAATTGTTTCTTTTAGGCTAAGGAAGGAGACGGAAATTGAAGAAATTCCATGAAGAAGGATCACATTAAACACTAGAAAAAGGAGACTATGGAAGAAATCAAAAGAAAATTAGCGGCCTACCTTGCAAAAAAATGGATCTATGTAGACAGATCTGAGGTAGTTTGTGAAGGAGAAGAGGAGGACTTAAAGGATCAGATAACTCTGGAGGAATTAGATTTGGCATCGACAAAACTCAATGGTCTGAAGGCAGAAGTACAAGATTCCCTGGAGGAGGTAAATCTGGGTACTGAGGTAGATCTAAAAATTACTTTTATTAGCGGTTCTCTTGAGTCGTGTTTGCATTATAAAATTATTAATATTTTGCATGAATACAAAGATTGTTTTGCTTGGGATTATTCTGAAATGCCAAGTCGGGACAGAAATCTAATGGAGCACAGATTACCAATTAGAGAAGGCTTTAAACCTTTCAAGCAGTCGCCTAGATGAATGTCTCTAGAAGTCAATTTGAAAGTTAAAGAAGAGATAGAGTGGCTGTTAAAGGTTGGTTTCATCAGAACTTCTAGATATGTGGAGTGGTTATCTAATGTGGACCCCATGGTTAAAAAGAATGACAAGCTAAGAATCTGTGTTGACTTCAAAAATCTGAATCTGGCAACACCGAAAGATGAATATCGTATGCCTATTGCAGATTTGCCAATGGATGATGCAGCACGCCATTGAATTTTGTCATTCATGGATGGTCACAATGGGTACAACCAGATTTTTATAGTAGAAGAGGACATTCAAAAGACTGCTTTCCATTGCCCAGGAGCTATTGGTACTTACGAATGGATAGTAATGCCATTTGGTTTAAAAAATGCGAGTGCAACTTACCAAAGAGTCATGAACGCCATCTTTCATGACATGATTGGTTGTTTCATGGAGATTTATATTGATGATGTGGTTGTGAAGTCTAATGAGGATGAAGAACATCTGATGCATTTAAAGCTGGCCTTTGAAAGAATGAGGAAGCATGGTCTAAAGATGAATCCTTTAAAATGTGCATTTGGCGTTTCTACTGGAAATTTTCTAGGATATCTGGTGCATGAACAAGGTCTGGAAGTGGATCAGAACAAGGCAAGAGCTGTTATTGAAGCACAGCCACCAAGAAGTAAGAAAGAATTACAAAGATTCCTTGGGCAATTAAATTTCCTAAGATGTTTAATTTCAAATGTGGCAAGAAAGACAAGAGTTTTTTCGTCATTGCTGAAACTGAAATTTGAAGCAGATTTTAAATGGGAGAAACACCACCAAACCACCTTTGAGGAAATAAAGCATTATTTATCAAAGCCGTCGGTCTTAGTGCCTCCTTTATGAGGCAAACATTTGATTTTGTACATATCTGCCATAGAGGAATCTGTAGGTTGTTTGTTGGCTCAAGAAAATAATAAAAAGCAAGAGCAAGCTGTTTATTATCTGAGTTGAAGTCTGTCATAGATCAAGGTGAAATATTCTTTGGTCGAAAAATTATGTCTTGCTTTGTTTTTTGCTGCAATAAAATTGAGACGTTATTTGCTTTATTCTAAGGTTTATGTTATTTCAAAAATAGATGTGATAAAGTACATGTTATCTCGACTATTGTTGAGAGTTAGAATTGGAAAATCGATTCTGGTTTTGTCAGAATTCAACCTGAAATACAAGTCTCAAAAAGCTGTCAAGGGGCAAGCTTTGGCAAATTTCCTAGTAGATCATCTGTGCCTTGAGTAGAAGCGGATAAGGAAAAAGGTATTAATTTATTTTCCATAAATTTGGTTCCTTAAGCTTATCTTTGATGGATCTTGCATAGATTTCATGTCTGGAGTAGGAATTCTTATTATTTCTCTAGTTGGTTTGAAAACTTAGATGTCATTCTAGCTAGATTTCAATTGCACAAACAACCAAGCTGAATATGAGGCGTTGATTATTGGGCTGGAAGTGTTGGTATAACTCAAGGTACTTGTGGTAAAAATAATTGGTGATTCACAATTGATTTTAAAGCAATTGGAAGGTGAATACAAATGCACTATTCTATCTTTAGCGCCTTTCTGCTTGTTCCATAGACATGACCCAAACAGATTGGTGCTATCCGATCATGAAATACCTAAAAAATCCAAATTTTAAGGTCTCAAGAAGGATGAAAATGCAAGTCTTAAATTTTGTTCTGCTGGAAGGTGTTCTTTATAGAATAGGACATGATGAATTACTTCTGCATTGTCTAGGTCCAAATGAGTACTACCAGATTATGTCAGATGTGCATAACAGAATCTGTGGTGCACACCAAGCTGGAATCAAGATGTGTTGGTTGATTCATAGACATGGATTCTTTTGGTCATCAATCTTGAAAGATTGCATTAGTTATGCTAAAGGTTGCAAAGCCTGTCAGATTCATAGGCCACTGTAGAAAGTTCCAGCATCAGAACTCCATCCAATTGTCAAACCATGGCCATTTCGAGGATGGGTCGTAGATCTAATTGGTAAAGTCTACCATCCTTCAACTAAGGGGCATTCTTTTATTATTGTTGCTACAGATTATTTTACCAAATGGGTGGGAGCAAAGCCAATGAAGAAGGTTGACCAGATCGATATTATTAAATTTCTTAAGGAAGATATTATTCACAGATTCGGTCTGCTAGAAATAGTAACGTCAGATCAGGGGATAGTTTTTGTTGGTGCACAAGTTGAGGTGTTTACAAGAGAAATGGGTTTTCAATTACTCACTTCGACCCTTTATTATGCTCAAGCCAATGGTCAAGCTGAAGCTTCCAACAAGATTGTGATAAATCCGCTTGAAAAAATGGTTGATGATAATCCAAGGCATTGGCATGAGTTATTATTTGACATAATCTGGGCCTACAAAACTTCACAAAGGACTTCTACCAAGGTAACTCCATTCTCTTTGACTTATGGACATGATGTTGTTCTACCCATGGAATTATCTACCAAATCATTATGTATAGCGATTCAACATGGTCTTACTTTTGGAGAAGACAATGATGTTAGAATTAAAAGACCTTGAAGGCATGTGATTGACAACCTTAAATAGGCTGCAAACACAAAAATTAAAAGTGGCTCGAGCATACAGCAAGCGAGTGAAATCCAAAAGTTTGGCAGGAAGCAATTCTGCCACCTAGAAAGAGAGATCCCAGATTTGGGAAATGGTCTCCAAATTGGGAAGGACCATTTTGTATCCATGAAGTGCTTAGAGGGAGAGCATATTGGCTTGAATCATTAAATTGAGAATTACATCCTCGAAAAATAAATAGAATCTACCTTGAGCCTTATTATCCTACGATATGGGAGGCTAGAGGTCTGGATACCATGAATTCTACCTTAATCAGATTTTAGGTAGGAATTGTATAGTATTTGCTTTTCTCAATTAGCATTTTATAGTTCAATAAAAATGCTGAGCTAAATTTGTAAGTAGGATAAATCTGGCTGTGAGCAACCAGAGTGGCTAGATTTTGGCCGTGACAGATTTCAACCTACAGCAGAGTATGAACAAAATGTGCAACAAGCAAACTTCCAAAATATGAGCAGCAAAGATAGAGATCAACATTGAAGAGGCAGTTTGCATGGCCAATAGGCCACAAACGTTAAGTTCAAGGATCGGAACATGCAAGTTCAATTAATAAATAAATAAATATATATATATAAGGGAATTAACAAAAGTTTCTTTACCAATCATTCCATTCTTCCCTCATATTTTTGAGTTCCACAACGACTTCATCTGCAAAAGCTGTGAGAGAAGGGAGCTGATCCTTGATCTCTGAAACAGATTTCAAGCCTGTCACCATATCTACATGAAGCTTATTTCGTTGTTCTGCCAAATTTTTCTCTGTTTGCTCCACAAGAGGAATCTGATTTCTCAATTCTGCAAGTCTGGCCTCGATGTTAGAAATTTCCTCCTTGAGATCTTGGAGATGTTTAATCTGTGTTACATGAGCAACCTTTGCTGCCAAGAACTCTTCCCTCTTTTTAAAGATAATGGCAGTACTATCTGCTATAGATTTTCTGGCAGATTCTGCTACCGCCACCTTGTTCTCAAGTTCCAGGAATTTCTTACTGAAATTTGCATAAATAAGAGTGAAATTTACCCAAAATTTACGTTGAACAGAAGATAGTTGTGGAGCTTGGCTAAGGATTTGAGCCGCTTCAAAAGCGGCTGGTTGATCTGGCACTCTACAAAAATTAGAAGGGTCACCATCAATGAGCTCTTGAAGGGTCAAAATGGCAAAGCTAATATGTTCCTGGGTAGGGAGATCGAAATCTAGGTTTGTCTCCTCAGTGATAAAACTTCCCTTTGCTATTTGGAGCAGATTATGATTTGACAGAAGGGTCCATCAACATGTCTAGCTTAGCAAGAAGCTCATCCTCCAAATCATCGTCAATCACAAAAATTTCAGCAGCAAGACTTTGCAAGAATTTGGAGACAAAGTTCAAAGATATCAGTTGGCAGATATAGTGACAGAATTCGAAATCTACACAGATTTCAGAATAGTGAAACAACCTCAATGTCATCAACATCAATCTGCCTAACAAGAGAGGCCACAAGTGTAAGAATACTCTTTTTCTCTAGGCTTAGATTGATAAGTTTATTTGGTCTAACTGTTTTAAAGCTTTTATTAGCTATGTGCAAAGAGAATCTAGAACCCTTAACCTTTGTGGCTGGTGAAGAACCATTGCCAGATTTTGAATGAAAGGAGCTAGAATTGCCTTCACCACTTTTAGTAAGTTTTTCTTCAATAGGATCTACTGTGGCAATGGCCTTGAGTGGGACATCTTTTGCTTGGGTAGGCTATTGTTGGATTTTTGTGGTAGAAGTGGATTCTGATGGAGAAGCAAATTTGATAAGTTTTTTTGGCTATAGAGGGTTTCACTACTAACCTCTTGATACCTAAAAAAAAAAAAAAAGGTTAGCAGAAAACATATTACATAAAGTTTCAAGCCAAAGCAGATTTACCTCCAGTTTTCTATTGCTTTGAAGGGCTATACTCCTTTGCAGGATCTACAGAAGTGGTAGTTTTCCTTTTGGCTTGAATTCTAGAAGCTCTCCTTGGCAAATTTGGTTTTTTAGGCTAGGTAGTCATGGCAGATTCCAGGTCACCTCCTTCCTATGTAATATCCTTTTCCTCAAATTTTTTAGTGAGTGGTGAATGAACTAGAATAGAAATATTATCCAAGACCCCAAGAAACCGAGGATGAAAATATCTTTGCCACCAAGTTTCACATGAGGAAGTGCAGCTCGGTTGAAAAGGAAGATCTGGCAAAATTATGGTGTGCAAGATTTGGGTGATTTTAGCAAGCTTTGAGGTTAAAATGTTTGGTTCTCCTATCCAAATCGGAGAGGGTAGCTGTGGTTAAATGAAAATAGTGGCGGAAATTGAATGTCTTGGCAGTATCTAAGCTGCCAATAGAACTAGTTCGACCCATAAAGCTCAACACCACATTTGGAATTGAGAGCATTCAGATTACAGCCTACAAACAGATCTTAGGAAGTCACGCAGACAGACCAGAATGCTCTGAAATCTGGAGACTGGATATCAGCCTTGTACCAAGAAGGGCCGTGAGATCTGTTTAGAAACATAGCGAAATCTGCATCAAGTCTGTTGATGGGAAAAGAAGCAAAAAATTTGAAGCATTCTTCAAAAGTTTTCTTATTTTCTGTGGCATCTTTGAACATTAAGCCATAGGAAAGCAGATCATAACCTAGTATAGCAAATAGAACAGGAACCAGTGTTGGGAAATAAGAGTAAAGCCATAGTTGTAGAATCCAAAGCGGTCCACTGCTATTGCCTAAAGGGTATACCGTGACATCTTGACAACTTTTATACAAGTAAGCAAGCAGAAAAGGACCTAAAGCTAAGCACCTGTTGTGTGCTAAAGCAACGGCTAATGGGATAAATTCCTTAGTAAGACCTTTACCAGCATAACAAACCATGTATTTGCAGATTAATGTAAGTAGAAATGAAATCTATTCTTGAGCGTTGGTAGGCTTACTATGGTCACAGGCAGATCTCACGAAAGTTGGATAAGAGGGCTTTAGATCTTTGTGGTCAGAATCAACACCCGGTGGCATGGTTAGAAGTGCAGAAATTTCTTCTCCTGTGCAAGGTAATCTGGTTAGTGAATTGATGTCGAAGAGATTCACAGACATGGCTCCGCAAAGAAGGTGGAAGCAATTGAAAGAACTAGACCAAAAGAGCAAAGCAGAACTCAAGATCGGCCTATCCATGACAAATTTGCACTTGGTTAGTTGAATAAACTCATACAAGCCCACATCCCTCTAGATTTGGCCGAAATCTGGTTCCAAGTGATCTCCCCAGTCAACCCACTCTAATTTTCTCCAAGATGGCAAAGATCTGAATTAGCCAATCCACCTGCTCCAAACTTGGAAAGGAAAAGGATGGTCTTTTGGTTATGGGTATACGAATTTAAGTGAAATGGGTGGAGGAGAAACAAAATATGGACCCAAAATTTGGGATTTCATGTGAGGAACAAACACTTGATTTGAATGGCCAACTTTATGGTGTTGAAGGATTTGTCTTATTTCACTTTGGAGATTTTGGCTTGGAAGAGGCTGACCAAATCTATTAGGGGTGGTTTCTTGATTTGGAAAGTTTTGGTTCCAGCCATGGTAGCAACAGATTCGGTGGGAAGAGGCTGTTCTTTTTGGTTGCCATCCATGGTAAGAGCAGATTTGTATAAGGAAAGGAGAAGGAATCGATGGTGTCCCAAGGAAGAAGAAAGTGTTTAAATAGTAAGTTTGACTTTTAAATTTTAAAAAATCCATATTTTTGGGATTTTAAGGATTTAAAAGTTAAAAAGGGCATTTAAAAGGAAAGGCTGGAGATAATCTTGGAAATTGGTCCAGGAGATATTTTAGGAGTCTCTTTTAGGTAGAAGAGATTTGAGATGTGGCATAAGTAGTTAAGATGGTGAAGGCAATTTATTTAATTAAAACACTTGGATTTATTTCCATAAAACCAAGTGTTGGGGGGCATTGTTTACACCATAAATTGTAAAAATTTAAGATAATGCCACGTGTAAAAATTTTTTAAATGAATGGAGGAGATTAGGCCATGTCAGATTTGTTATTCTGGATTCCATGACAGATCAGCTGCCACATTGGCAAAAAAAGGGGATAAATTTAAGATTTTACCATGCAATTACCTCTTTGAGTCAAAAAAGAACTGTTTTAGGTGAAATTTAGGAGGAGATTGTAGTTATAGAAGAGAGTTATCAAATAAGGGCACAGGTGGCGAAAAGCTGGAAAGAGATCTGACCAAGTCAACTGTGGAGTTGTCTTACTACCTCAAGAAACCACCCACAATTTTGTAACTACAGAAAGTGAGAAGTTACAGCCAGCAAAAGGAGAACAAGAAGGAAATTTTGGAAGGGAGAACAGACGGCCAGCCTTACTTAAACACCTGCAAATTTTCAAACTTTCATTTTTTCTGCAATTGCTTCTAGATTTTGGATTTCAGCACAATTTCCAATAGACTTACATTGTTTTTCATCATTCTAGTAGAAAAATTAAATTATGTATTCGTTTCAACAATTTTGTTTCATGCCATGAACTTCAATCTTTCGAATTTCTTCAAGGTACTTTTCCTTTTTCGTCTGCAACTAATTTAATGTTTATGATAAGTAGCATTTCTTCGATGATTACTTATATGGCGTTCACACTTCTTCTCAACTTCAAGCATGTTAGTTTAATTCCTATTCATGTTTTTTTTAATTTAATTGGGGTAAAATCTCCAATTCTGTAGCAGTTTAATTTCCAGATCTGTCAATAGATAGCATTTTAATCTAACAATGAACATGTTTAATTTAATTAGGGTAAATCTTGTTCTTGTAAATTTATTTTAAATTGCATGCTATTTAGTTTAATTGAGATTTGTTAACTTTAATTCACGGTAATATTTAAGTCCTTGGAGTTGTCCTAAGCAGATTTCGTAACCCATTCTGCAGGAAGGTATCCATCCTTCTTGCAAATCGTCTGTAGGCGCAGATTTCAATTTTAATTCAACTTTCTTCCCGCCATCCGCAAGCAAGTCGACCATGAGGAAAGAGAGGGTCATTGGGAAAATCCTTCTTTCTTACTTTTAACAAAGTAAGTAACACGTCCACATTCAAATTTTACACGTGCGAGGTTACTAGAGGATTTTTGGAGAACCAGATACTAAACCAAAAATTAGTATAGTTTTGGCTTTAGGTTTTAAGTTTTCATTTTTTTTATATATTTAGATTTAAAATTTTATTATAAAAATTCAAATTTATTAAATTTAATTTAAATATAGTTTTGTATGAGGGAATAGTCCTTCTCTTTCGCTAAATCTCTTCCCACCCGATTCAAGGTTTGAATTTAAGACTTCTAACTTAGAATCTCAAATTGTTAACTATTAAGCCCCTATCTTAGCAGTATTTAAATGTAGTACTAGTTACTGAATGTATAAAAATAAAAAATAAAAACCTAAAACACAAACATACTTAAGAGAGCCTTTGTGATAACCCAAATTTTTGGGAATTTTATCATATAAGTTAGGGACTTTTGTGTGAGAAAATATTTTTTTGGGGCTTAATGATCGAAATTTGCTAAGTTGAGGGACTTAAAGAGGGAAAGAAATTGGATAAGGATCAGCTTCTTCCTTTTTCTTTTTCTCTTCTTTTCTTTTCTTCCTCACCCGCGCATCTGCTCTTTTCTTCTCCCCTGTAGCTCCCGAAATCCCCCCCAAGCTGCCGGCAACAATTTTTGAGAAAAACTGGTAAAAAAGCTTGGATTTTCTCCTTATTTTCTTGTCCAAAAACCAGATTTGAGCTTAGAAACCTCCTCCCCCTGCTGGAAAATCCGGATCTGCTCTGCTCCTCCTCTTCACCGCCGGCTGCTCCTGCTTTGTGGGGTGTGTTTTGCTCCGGTTTTTGGTAAGAAATAGCCATGAAACTCCCTTATCCAGCTTTAATTGCCTTGGGTTTACGTTAATTGCTCTTATTTCCTTCAATTTTTGGATGGATTTCCCGTGAGCTTCTTCTCCAAATTCCCGCCGGCAACTTCCCCAACTGCAGCTCCAGTTTTAGCTGGAGAATTCTGGTATGTGGCAACCCTCCAAGCCCCCGAATTTGTCCATTTGTTTGCGTTTAATTGCTGCCCTATTGTGTGTCCGAATTGTGCTGGAAAAATGGGGGAATTCCGGTAGCTTTAGGACAATTTAAGCATTAATTCAAGTGGGATTTATGTGATTGAGTGTTAATTGCTTGCTGTGAATTTTTGGAGAGAAATCCCGTGAATTAGCCATGGTTTTGCCAATTTTGGAAGTGTAGTTACTGTTCATGGCACTGTTTACGGAACTGTTCACATATTACTGTTCACACACCGAGGTCGACAATTAACGGGGATTTCAATGATTAGTTTGTAATATAAGAACAAATTTGGAGATATCTGATCATGTGGAGATTGATAGAAATAGCATCGTGATTAGGGGGTAGTCATGGTGATTTTACTTTGAAATTGTGATAGTACGGTATTAATTCTCAGATATTTTGATTAGGTTCTTGATCGTTCTGTCAGTTTAGCACTAAGATTGAGTCTTCAGTTTTATGTGAGTGAGGTAAGTAAATTTATGGTAATCCCCGTATAGTTTTTAAAAGCATGTTTTAATTTGTTTTTTGAAGTGGTGGCGGGACTAAACCCGTTTTACACGAGCATAACTGATTTGAAGTGAAATTTGATGCTTTTTATTAAATTGAGCATGCCTACTTGAAATTTAATTGATTGTTTTGATGATTTGAAAGTGATTGGTGAATTATGATTTTTTTGTTAACTTCTGCCTGTTTTGTCTCCGATGTGGTTATGTTATTGATAACCCTGTTAGTGGGGGTTAAACGCTAGCACATGTCAACATGTTACTGATAGAACCGGTTCATTTCTGTTGCCTTGCTACTGGGGATTATACACCAGCAAATACTGTAGCCTACCAGTGGGAGGTTTATAATACTGGCCGTGACCTATAGAGGAGACATCTATTTCGTTCTCGCACTGTAACCGTTTTTCGTGATTATACTTGTTGGCATGCTATAAGTTTAATAAGGGGCACTCCATATTTTACTTACTGAGTTTATCTCATAGTTTTTTCCTTGTCCACCATTTCAGGAAGCGAAATCGAGGACGGGGAAACCACGGGAAGTGACGAGTTAGAAGGCTAGCTATTTCGAGATTGATATAGATTTTAGAAATAGATCATGATCTTGTAAGCTAAATTGTATTTGGAGATTTTATGATATCAAAGTAGATTTATAATTTGATCTTCAGATTTTGATGGTATCAGATTGTGGTATGATAAGTTCTGAGCCTTATGCATTCGTGGGACCCTCTCACGAGTGCACGGCGTCTACCACGTTCCCGGATTTGGGTTTTGAGGCATGACAGCCTTAATCAAGAAAACTCAAACAACGCCCAGCCCTAAATACAAAGTTCTGAAAATAAAGGCATATAGGAATCTGAATGCAATATTTATTGACTTTATGATTTTATTTTTATTCTTTATGGTAATCACGAGATTTGTTAATATAGCAATATAGAGATTACAAGAAGAATCCTTACCAGATGGCCATTAAAGCTTAGAAGAAGCAACAGAAGATTTTGCCCATCACAAATGAATACAATTAAGCAAAGAGAACAGTTTATCATCAAGAATTACAAAAACAATGGTCACAACGGTCTAAACAGATCTTAAAAAAAAAAAAAAATAGAAAACAACCATTACAAGCATCTTCAGATTTTATGTAGTCTCAACTATTATGTCAACTTAATGGAATAGCGAGTATTTATTGGATATTTAGATTGAAAATTAACATAAAAGTGAAATTTCATTCTTTTCACAACTTCTACAGAAAAAATTTAGTATACTTTATTGTATCTCAAGAGGTATTAACAACCTTAAAGAAAGTAATTAATTTCGTTTACATTTCAAAGTTGTAATTTCATGTCATATTTTCCCAATAGTTTTAGGCTATTAATTAGTAGTCCCACCCTCTAAAATCTTGCCACGTTCATGGAGGTACAATCTTACAGGCAGATTAGCATGTCTTCATACACAACCAAAGCAATATCTAAATTGTTCTAGATTTATATTTAAATGAAAAAGGGAGAAGAGACGGAACCCCTACCCAAGGAGGAGAGCTCTGAGGAAAAGACTCACAGCAACAGTTAATAGTAATAGTTATTTCTTAGTTAAATTACAAAAATAAATTAAATTTAAGAAAATTTTTAAAAAAATTAAGAATAATTAAACTTTAATATTGTTAATTTTCTACTAGATTAATGGATGAATAGAGAACATGTATTTCTTAATTATTTATTAATGCATAAAGAAAATTAGATATTAAAACTTAGTTATGTCTAACTTTTAATGAAATTTCCTCAATTTTAATTTATTTTTATATTTGACCAAAAAATAACTATTACGAACAACCGAACAAGCCATTAGAATATATTACTCTTTCAGTATACAAACTTGCTGTATATATTGATATGTTAATAAAATTGTTTCACTTAGCAAATATTATTCTAGATTTATATTCTCATAAATTTCTCATAATTAATTGTTGATCAAGTTATAATTTTCTTTGTTTTTCTACTATTTCTTTTTTGATACTTTTATGTTGATTGTAAGTTAATTTTTTATTTTTTTGGCCTCGGTAATTTTTTTGCTATTAGTTTTTTTTTTCTAATTTAATTGTTTTTGAGAAATTTATATAAATATTGTCCATCCACCTTACCTCCAAAATATCAAGAGAAAAAATTATTCTAAAACTATGTTATTTCAATAAATTTCATTGAAAAAGACTAAAATACTATGTTTTTAAAGTAAAAATTAGACTATTTTAATTTCTATCTTTTCTCATGATACTTTATTAAAATGACATAATATTAAGGTGATAAGCACTAACCCTATCTCTTATACAGTTTTTGGGGAAGTAGTTAAGGCTACACATGAAATTGTTGAGGTCACAAAAACTTCTTCTCTATCTTCTTTTTTTTCTTTAAGTAAATAGGCTGTTATGGTATTTGAAAATATCAATGTATAGACTGATTTTAATTTGTTGAGTAATAAATATCAATTATTTTGTTATTTAATTAATTAACAGCTACAATTATTAGTTGTTTCTAATAGTCAAACTAAATAAAGTTAAACTAAATAAAGTCAATATTTTAAAAGACAAAATTCAAATGTTTGTGTAGCACAAACAATTTGTTGGGTGACCATAACCATTCCATAGTTTTAGGGTGATTGTGTGTAAAACATGTGAGCAAGACTTACATACAAGGGGAATCCTATATAAAGAGTTAGGATCAGACTTATGTGTAAGAAAATCTTATATAAAGAATTAAGATCAATTTATATACAATTCTTACAAATATTATTTACAAAAAATTTTAATATTCATCTTTTCACTATGAATGATTGAAATTTATCTATTTTTATTTTATTTTTTAAAGATAATTATTTTTTTATCTAAAAAGATGTGATAAATCTCAACTATTCTTTGTAAAGAGATAAATAATCAAAATTATTAAAATAATACATATGTAAAAATTATGTGTAAAAACTGCATATTACATTTGAGAACTATTTGTGTCAGAATTCATAACCAACCTAATATTTTGTGCTCTGAAGTGGTGGTACAAGTGTTAACAAGCTACTCTTCTTCTTACTAGCTAGCACTTCGCTTAATCAAATCCACTCTGAAATCTCAACTTTATGTCAAGTAATGACATGGAACGTTTATATATATATATATATATATATATAACTTTTTTACTTAATTTTCATATGTCATTAAAAAAATGGGTATATATAATATCACCGATCTTAATAGAATAAAAAGAAATAATCATTAAATAATATATAAAGTTTTATTAAAAAAATTATAAAAAATGGTTGTCTTTCAATTATTTTTGTCTACATCTAATTCTCAAGGAAATATGAAGACATTTGAAGACAAAAAGGAAAGGTCAACCCACAACTCTTAAGTTTAAATAGTGCCAACAATTTAAATAACTTAGTACGGCATATAAGTGAAATGAATTAAGAAATGAAAAGAAATTGCCTCTCATTATTCAAGCCAAAATAAAAAAGTAAAAAAAAAAAGTCGAAGGAATAGTTTCAATACTATAAAAATATTGTTGAATGCTTCAATCATTGATGAAGATTAGGGGTGGTAATTTTCTGCAGGGATCCTTGCCATGGGGGCTGGGTGGGGACTGAGGTATTTTTCCCTTGTAAATGTATGTTGGGAATTTTTCCCATCCCATGAGACTCCCGCAAAGTGAAAAAATTAAAAAATATATAACTTAATTTTATTTTAAATTTAACCCAACTTAATACATAAAAATACATTTTAAACTCAACCCAATAAAAATTAAATTTAACCCAATTTTACACAAGCCAACCCAACCCATATCTGAGCCTAACCCGATTAAATTAAATTGGATTAATCTTTGTTTATGTTTGGAGAGTTTATATTTGATTTTATGTTTAAAGAACTTTAGTTAATTATGCTTGAACTTTTAAAATTTTGCTCATTGTATTTGAATATTAGTTGATTATATTTGGAAAATAAAATTTACATTTTGGTATAAATTAGAGGGAATGAGAATCCCTATGGGGACCCTTATCCTCCGCGAAGAACGGGAAAAGGAAACAAAATTTGCCTTTCATAAAAAATCTTTGTTGGAATTCCTGTCCTCGCAAATGGTTGGGATGAGAACAAGAATGTACTCCCCAATCCCATGGGGCCATTACCACCCCTAATGTGATATCCCAATCCTTATTTGCAATAAGTTGAAGAGAATAAGTTCTTATTTGCATTAAGTTAAAGTTAGAGTCCTTCATCTCATCTAGAATTAGGGACAAATATATAATATTTGTTAATTAGGGGATTGCATGTTAATTTAATAAACTGTAATCCTAGTGTCTATCTTAAAGAGAAATTAATATAGTCCAGCTATCAACAACCTATTAAAATAGATAATAGGTGGCTGGATGAGAAGTAGGCCAAGTGGGGAGCATTTAAGACCCACTTGACTAGGACTTCTTGGACCATATCTCTAAATTGGCTATTTTCTTATATTTTGTCTATAGCTAGACCAAAAGAGAAGGAGAAGGACGGTACAGATAGATTAAGCAGACTGGGAGAATATTGAAGAATTCTACCAAGTTCAAGATTTTTGAAGAAAATGTGTAGGTAAGTGTGATTCTCAATTTTAAGTTAAAGTTGTCAAATAAAGTTTAAAGGTAAATAACGCAACAGAATAAACATAAGAAATTCAGGTGCTGCAGTTTAAGTTAAATAACAGAAGAGACAAGTAAATATAGAAGTGAGTTAACCTAAAAATCTCCTGTGTTAAAACTGTAAAATCTTTATAGTTCAAGTGTTGAGGTTAATATGTTATGTGTATCAATTTTTTGGATCATGTTCTGTGCATTTGACCTGGGCACTTTATTACAGCCTCTTTCTATTATTTCTACAGACTATATTAAGTAAATATTGGATTTGTTGTGCATGATTATGTGATATATGTGGTTTTGCAATGTAATTCCCTTAGAACTATGGAGAGTTTGGACCTCAGCGTAGGTTTGAGGATTAGAACAGTGAACTAATGGACCTCTGCACAGTAGGTATGTGCTATGATTAGCTCTAGCACCTAATGTGAGTGCATGCACATTCATTGGACTCCATAGTTTGTGTTATTACTATTATGATGTGCTATGTTCACGTGATCATTTATGAATGCAATGCCTCAATTTCCTACAATATTCATACAACTAAGTACTAAGGAATTTTCTGCATAAGATACTAAAGATTAAATTAGCAGCTTAACTTGAGATTAAGAATTATACTTACTGGGCTGTGAGTTCATGGTGTTATTCCCACCATTTTTAGATAGTAACAGTGAAGAGTAGCTGTTATTCCTAAGAATTTTTGTGAGTGGAGGCCCTATGCTAACTGTAAGCTATGCTGCAAATTTCAGTAAGACAAATTTGTATCTATCCAAAACTTTCATTTGTCTCTATAATTTTAAACCTATCTGTACTATATTAAGCTTGGGAATAGTATATAAATTGAATATTTTGATATTATAGACTTCTTTTGTATTTTTCTTTACTTAGCTGTGCAATACATCTCCCTACTTGATGGACCTATGGTTTCTCTAAAGGGGATGTTACATCTAATCAAAAGATAATATAGGCTAAGTTTGACTGTGTTGGATACAGTTTTTTCTGCACATATTTACAGAATTTTTTGTAACTTATGTGCTTAGTAAATTATTCATTCCTATTTTTTTGGAAAGCAATTCAAAAGTCATTTTATCTAAAATTAATAGAATTCTTAAATAATTTAATAAAAATTTTAAACTTTTTTTCACATATTATATATTAAATTATTAATTACTGAATCTAAATCTAATTTTAAATAATAATGTATCTAATTGAGTAATTTTATAATAAAAAGTTTTTTTAAAATATAATTATCAAATATTAAAATA